CCCGGACCGGCCCCGAGCGCCGGAGCCACGGCCGGGACACTCTGGAGGGTCCCGGGGGTCCCCACCGGGCACAGCCAGGGTGGGTCCGGCAGTTCCACGTCCCGGCTGCGGCATCGACCTCCGGCTCAGGATTTAGGGCATTTTCAAGGACTTTCAGGCACTTTGAAGCTCTCAAAATTTGGGAGCGAATCCAGTCGGGGGCTGGTTCTTCTCTGCCCCGGCTCCGACCCCAGCCCCAGTGGTACCAGTGCGTTACTGGTGCGGCAATACCGCCCCGCCCCCCTCAGAGCGGAGCTTTTCGGGGAGATTTGTGGGAAATCACTACTTTTATCCCTGTTTTTGGCAGTTCCGAAGGAATCCGGAGCCTCACCTGGAAGGAGCCGCTGGAAGAAGGGATCTCAGCCCCACCTGAGCACAGGTGATGGGGCTTTGAGTGGGAACTCACCGCTTTTACCGCTATTTTTGGCAGCTCTGAAGGACCCCAAACATTCACCTGGAAGGAGCCGATGCGATGGAGGGGGATCAGCCCCACCTGAGCTCAGGTGAGCACCTGGAGCCGCTTTTCCGAGCTCTTCCCACGTTTTCCACCTGGCTCAGCCCCTCCCTGACCTCCATCTCTCCCCTGTCCCGAGGAAGACATGACCACCCCGTACCTGAGGAAGGCTCCCACCCCCCGTGGCCATGAGGACGCCGACACCGCCGTCATCGCAGGTGAGGCCGCGGCTGCTGCTCCGGCCCGGGGCCGCTGCGGTCGCTCCGGGCTGAGCCCTGGTGCCCTGTGCTTGTCCCGCAGTGGTGATCACCCTGGTGTTCCTCACCTTGCTGACGGTGCTGGTGGTGATCGGGATTTACCTGTACCGGAACCAGGGCTCCTACCGCACCTACGAGCAGCCGGAGCCGGACGCGGCCCCGAGGGAGGAGGCTCCGGCCAAGGAGAAGGAGGAATATTTTATCTAAGGACGCACCCGGGATCCGCATAGGTCCCGAAATTCCCTGGAGCTGGGGGTCTACATAAATTTTTTCAGGAGTTAGGATGCTGCCGGAATTCCCTGGCATCGGGGATCTGCCCAAATTTTCGGGAGTTGGGGATCCACCTAAATATCCCGGAGTTGAGGAATTTCTTGGAGGTGGGAGATCTTAAGTTGGGAATCTGCCTGAATTCCCTGGAGTTGGGGCTCTACCCGAATTTCCTGGCACTGGGGTTCTGCCTAAATTCCCTGGATTTGAGGATCCACCTGAATTTGAAACCTGCCTAAATTCCCCGACATTGAGGTTCTGCCTAAAGATCCTGGAGCTGGGATCTGCCTGAGTCTCCTGGAGTTTGTGATCTACCTAAATTCTCTGGACCTGGGGTTCTGCCTAAAGTTGAGGATCTACTGGCTGATTTTGCTTGGTTTGTTGTTTTTTTTTTTTCCTTAATTTATGAAGCCAACCATGGAAGGAATATGTGGGTGCCTGAGGGCAGGAAAAACCCCAAATACCCCCCAAAAATAATAACCCCGAAAGAGGAAGTTCCCAACCCAGCAGGAAAAAGGAAAGAAGTGAGGAAACCCCCAGCTAGCAGCAGCCAAAGAGGTTCTCAGAGGCCAAACAGAAATTTGTTACTTCATTTAAATTTTCAAAATAATCTTTATTTTATTTTTGGTTTTTAGTATAAAAACTCCACAAGTTCAGTGCAGCACAGAGAGTCCGAGAGCCGAGCTGGGGAACAGTCAGGGATGGTCACACACACAGGACATGGATTCAGATTAAAATGAAATATTACAATAAAATAGAGTTGAATCTGAGCTCTTTCTTCATCAAATAACAACCAAAAAGAAGAAAAACACCCGATTGAGGATCCCTGAAACGTTCCTCGAAAGCTTGTGGAGTTTGGTTATCAATGCAGGCATGAGTCACTGATAAACACATCGATAAACCCATTCACAACTCATTTCCGAACACCCCATTCATAAAAATCCACCTACAAACATCCCATTCATAAAATTCATTCATAAAGCCACCAATAAACACCTCATTGATAAAGCCATTGATAACCCCCCAAAGCGAGCCCATGATCCGAGGGATTTGTGTGCTCACTGACAGTTCCCACACACCCAGGACAGATGGCAACCAGCCTCTCGGATTTAAGGAATTTGGGTGCAAAAACACCAGGTTTGAGTTAAAATCAAGCATTTGCTAATTAAGCATCGGTTAAACCTGGTTCTAGCTGGAACGGGAGAATCCCACGGGAGCTGCAGCAGGGCCCTGGCACCGGTCATGGCTTTAATTAGAGCTGAAGTGCAAACAATCCAAGATTACTCAAGAGTGGGTTAAAAAATTCCCAGGACAGGAGAGATGTTTCTGGAAGAGAAAGGTGGGAGAGGGTGAGGGGGCACCTCTGGAGTGAGGCAGGGAAGGGCTCAGGTCCTTCCCATTAGTGGGGAAGGAGATTTTTGCCTCTGAGAAGGGAATTTATTTTGTCTCTGGAGAGATTTTGTCTGTTTTCTACCCAAAATCCACCTTTCCAAAAAAGAAGGGAGACCCAGATGGGTCCAGCAGAGGGATGAGGGTGGCGGAGGGGGACTGCTCCCCAGGGTGTAATTAGGCCATTAATTAATTAGATCTGCATGTAAATGAGGAAGAGGCGGGGCTGAGCTCACCCCTATTTGTGAATGAACCCCCTGGGATCCCCCAATTAACCAAACCCCTCCCCTGTCACCCACTCGTGTCACCTGCAGGGAGGGGACCCTCCCCGGCCTTTGGGGCTCCCCAGGCCCGGTGCAGGTACCTGGGGGAAGGTGCTGATGGGCAGGGGGGCCCCCCAAACCCGGCCCCCCCTCACCAGAGGCTGAAGCCGCCCCCAGCCCCCCCCAGGAAGCCCCCCTTGCGCGGGGGCAGCAGGAC